GTGATCTTATGATACTACTTTTTTATATGATCTCATTGTTAACTCGAATAAATGTACCAGTGTTCGACTTTGGGTGTTAGTCGGTATATAATCTTTTTTCATCTAATAGCTCTGTCACAGTGTGTGGGAAAGCTTTGCCACTGTTTTCTCTTTATTGACATAATGATGAGAGAACTTTCAAGCATAATTTGTGATAGGAATATAAACAGAAGGTACAGCATTAAAGAAGAGCCGTAGTTGAAGATGGTATAGAGTAAAGATAACAGAATGAGTTACAGATTCAGATGAATTTTTGACATCGCTAAACTCTCCTAACGGAAAAATTCTCGAAGATAATACAACGTATGTTATCACCGTTGATTCTTCATGCAACTACCACTTTGAATCGATAAGACAATAAGAGTAATGTCGTATTTTACCGTTCTCGTTAAACTATACCTTATAAATATAAAAACTGCGATTATTGGACAAATGAATGCATAGATCAACATTTTTCAGTTGTACAGAACGAAAAACACAAGAATAAAATAGATGATTGGCTTCTTTTACGAGTTTCAAACCTCAAGTCTGGAAACTCTGTTTTTTTTCTATGATTTCATGAGATAGTTTCATATAGTTCAGAACTCTTCTTATAGTCATGTACAAAATATCAAGCCAATTAAAACAGACAATTCAATTTTAATGATGTTGTGAATAGATAGACATATAATAATCTTCAAAAAACTGGTGTTAGTGAACAGAAAATTTGTTTCTTTGTTTTACGTAAATCTTGACGCTATGTTAAATGAGTTTGAAACGTTGCATTCTATGGTTGTTGCGATCACTGACATACAAATAGGTTTCATTATAATTGAGAGCAACGTTATATGGCGCGTTTAACGATGTCACGCTGGAACTGCTTCCACTAGAGCCTGCGATTGTCACACCACTTATTGCTCCAGACTCCAACGTTGTATTCGATGATTATATGTATCGGCAATGTAGACATCACCGGTTTTCTTCGAAACACATACAGCATAGGAAGTATTTAATTGATGATTTCCTGTTCCCAGTCCATTTTCACCAGCAACAGTGGTAATATTCGTTGATCCACCTAAATAATAACGTTGAATTCAATGATTAGAAACATCAGCAATGTAGAGAGGGGTGGGTGTGGGTGTAAGTGTAGATGAAGAGAAGACCCACACCCAAGACAAACGGACCCAATCCGTTAATATGGACTAATACTAGTCATTATTAAGGAGTGGTTTATAAAGATAAGATTATCTTAGTGACAATGCAACTAGTTGAACTATAGAACTGCTTCTAATAAAGAGTTTTTTGTAAGTAGTCATTTATTCTTCTAACATATCTTCTTTCTTTTGTGTTGGCTGATCATAATAAATGATAAATCCATCATGCTTATCATGATTTGAAAATATCAAAATATATGAAAAATATTTAAAGTTTAGGAAACCAAAAGGTTCGTTTACAACTTCAAAATTTCTTCATCAACGTTAAATATGAATATTCTCTAATAATTATGTATATTGTCATTATCTTTTCATCTTGTCATGTTTCATAATCTATATCGATATTGAGATGCATGGAACCATATTTGTTACAATATATTTCCTTTGATAAACTGTTTTCTGAGATAAATGTATCTTTCATTCTAATTTTTTAAAGAAACAAAACAATATACCCTTAATGAAACAAAACAATATACACCCACACCCTCTATACTACGGTGTCTCTTGGATCCAGCATCCTCTCTTCTATCTTTTCACTTTTTTTCTTGATTATGGTTCATTTGCAACTCAAATTGCATTATTTAATTGGGCAACTGTTGAACGACACATACTCATTTTTCATGATCAATGGAACTCAACTCGAAAGAAACGTTTCTTCGTTCATTATTTTCCAATATTGGCTATTCTTCTCTATCGTCTTCTTTATTTTGCTACAGTCATCTTTGGATCATCTTGTAACCATTTCTTTGGCTTTTTTATTCTTACTGACAATTTTGTTCCTTATTGCTTTTATCAAACATCGTTAGGGACATTTGATCTGCTATTTCATCAAATAACTTCAACATGTATTATTGTGATATTTAGTGTTGCTCTTCTCTGGCGGGTTCTCAGACAAAAACGAAGATTAAATCAAGCAATACACTGGCGAAAACATCGAAAGATGACCATTCAGTTATTATCAATCACAGCATTCTATATGATATTGAATTCACCATGGACAATAGTCACTCTGGCTTTACAGTTTGGTTTAGTAATTCGAATTGGCGGAGTCATCATGCCCTTTGTGGTATTCCTTCGCAATTATGTGATATTTTTATTTCCATATGTTTGTTTGGCATCATTGCCTGAACTTCGAGCGAAACTGACAAAGACATTTGCATATTGTCGACAAAGAGGCCAACGACGACGAGTAATTGCACCACATGTTATCGTTCATTGACCGACATTTACTGAAATAATCATTGAGATTGTTTTGAAAACTTAAAGTTTAAAAAATATAAAGAAAATAATAATGGAAATTTGTTCAACATGCAAGATATTTTATTTCTCCTTGGCTTATCATTAATAAAGAAAACATCAGATGACATTTATTAAGGCTATCAACGCAGTAATGCAAATCTGCCATATTTGAAAAGAAAACAATTAATGATATTCTCTATTGTATTCTGATTAATTTAAGCATATTCTTTTTTATCAAAAGGTTGTTCTTGAATTTCTCTAACCAATATAGGTGAATTCGCTGAAATATTTTCTTTTGTTCAAAAAAAAAGTGAAAACTGCAAGAACAACATAGTGAATCGTGCATATAATAGTCAAGAAGAATGAGAAAGTTTTCGCATTGTGCGTAATATATTGTTGACTGTATGAAATAGAACTATTCTCACAATGAGCAAACATGTCTTTTTCCGTGGAGAACATAAAATATATTTTGAAGATAAACTTTTTGAACAGCACCATCTAAGCTTTCAAATAAATAAAATTGTTTTTTT